ACTACAAATCCCTCTTCTGCCTTCATGGTTAACGAAAACCCCCAGTCGCAAAGAACCATTAAGAAGGGCTTTTGTGCAGGGCCTTGTTCTTAATCGCTTGAGTTGGAATCAAGTCGGTCTATGGGCTAGCAAACGACAACATTATATTTGACCAATACTTTATTAGCTGAACAGTAGTGCTCCCCAGGAGTGCTCCCCTAGCAACCCCAGATGCGAGTCCTAGATGGAGGCGTTGTGAGGAGAAGCAGATTCTCTAGCAAAGTCCACAGTAGAAGACTAAACTTGACTTTAAAGTAAGATTAAATGTTGACGACTTTGCGTAGGGTCTATTGACCCACTAATTAGGGCCAGAGAACGGCGGAAAATCCTAAAGGAAAATAACGGGCCATCTTCACAAAACGATTCTACTGGTTGATTTGATTAGCGGACGCGGCGTCTAAATGCCGGATTTTAGAAGCAGATTAACATTCAGAATTGTAGATGAATGAATCATACTACAGCCTGAACTATCGCCCATAAAAAGCGTCTTAAAATGGATAAGGTATTGTATACGCAGCAAGTCATATCTAAACCTAACTTTTGATTAAAAGAAACATTTTTCGTTCATTCTTCACGATAAGGAGGAGTCTACTAAACTTCTTCTCTGCTACTTAAGACAACTACTTATTCTTTGATGAAGTTTCGTCCATAAAAAGCGTCTTAAAGTGAATAAGGTATCGTATACGCAGCAAGTCATATCTAAACCTAACTTTCTATTAAAAGAAACATTTCCGTTTATTCTCCACGATAAGGAGGAGTCTACTGAACTTATTCTCTGCTACTTAGTACTACTATTCTTTGATGGCTTTTCAGAGGGGCATTGGCATAGTGTCTATATGAATCTTTGCCTCCATATTTATCTATTTCTCTACTTCTAACCTTTCTACCTCAAGGTACTTCTGGTAACTCTTAAACTCTATTTAAACTTTCTATCTTTCTCTCTCTCTCTGATTCCAAAGAGACCCAGTACATTTCGTACATTCTCCATTTAATTCTCTATTTATGGATAGTTTATGGAGATAACTCTAAATAATTCTTAAAGATTATCAGAAAAACTCTTCATTTATTAAAAACTTTGTAGCCCAGTGTAGTCAAAAACGATTAAACACATTGAAAACTCTTTTTTCAACACAATACAAAAACATTTATAACAAATTGCTTTACAACGACAAATATCAAACGATTTTTATTAAGGCAAAAGAAGAAAAAAATATAAACAGAAACCCAAACTGAATACAAATTAATTAAATTATAAAAAAATAAAATAATTTCGCATACACATGTACTTTATGTAAATATACAACACAAAACCTACAAAAAAATAAAGAATTTATTTTTTTTAAATCATATATAATTTTAGTGATTTTTATCGACTTCTGTTTAAGAATTTTTAATTGAGTGTAAAGAACTTTTCAAACAAAACGACGAAATTAACAAAAAACTTTTCAAAATTTTTTGCGTGAGTGTTAGTTGGTTGGTAAGTTAATTTTTGTTATTAAAACTGTTTGCTGTTTTAATTTGTTTTTTGTTTTTGTTTTAAAGGTTTATAATTTGATAAAAAAAAAAAAAAAAAAAAACTAGAAAAATACATAAACTATAAGCCACCACCACCTACCTACTTTGAGTAGATAAAATGAAATTTATGTTTTACTTTTAAGTATGTTACACACAAAAAATGGGTTAACATGAAAAAAAAATTAACTAAAATTCAAATATGTATTTAAATTTAATTTTTTGTTTATATAACGGCTAAAAAGCAAAATGGTAGTTGGCGTTATGCTTTAGTTTGTTTTTTCTTAGACTTTTTGGATGATTAGATTTCCATTGGGTGCAAATGTAAACATAAACGTTATTAAACAAACGTTTAATACTCGAAAAGATGAAGGTCGTTTTAGATTTATTTGATTTTGGTTTTTCTTAGAAACTTATTTTCAATGAAATCTATGAGAATCCACGATTTTAAATTGGATATTTTCAGAATTATAACGACTTTTGCAGACCGCGCCATATCGATTTTTCATTCATATTACCATTGTTTTTGTTTTGTGTTTTTCTCCTCTTATTAAAAATTTATAGAAACTTTGAACTCCAATTGCCATTGGGGTTTTAGATGGAAAACTATCGAACAACATTCGCCTAAAACATTCAATGTAATCACTAATCAGGTTCTACGGGGAACCTCCACCTCTTCTATGAACTATAACAATTTTTGAGCCTTTGTCTCATATTTGAACCAACAGATATCGAAATATTCTGTTATTGCAGAACTCCGTATAAGTATATTCCAACAGTCGTTGGGAGATCTTCCCTGAGGAAAAAACCTCCAGTTTATATAGCTGATGTTAAGTATACAATATTTGGCCGATTAGAAATCGCATCATTATAGAGCGAAGGGAATGTGTGAGCGATAATTGAAACTGGGTCATATGATCTTAGATTAAGTCCATTTCAGATTAAATTTTTATCTTGTATCAGAATCAAAAGGGTTATTCATTAAGAGCGTTATGAAAGTACAATCGATAACGACATCGTACAATTGAACCACCTTCTCAGAGTTTTGTTAATATTAAATTGATATCAAAATTCAACTCTGGATCGCATGATCTTAGATTAAGTCCATTGCAGATTCAATTTTGATTTTGTATTAGAATCAAAAGGCTTATTCATTGAGATCGATAAGAAAGTATAGTCGATAACGACATCGTTCAATTGGACCGCCGCAGATCCCTGTGGGTAATGTTACCTTGGTGTTATTCCAATCCCGCGGATAAATGTTAGATGTAGAAACTGGAGAATCGAGGGACTCATTGTGGTCATTTGACTATTGGTGAGATGCCTTCGCATTATACGTAACGGTTGAAATCCAATGATGCTTGGCGAAATTAACGTCGACTTAACGGAACCCCACAAGTGACTTAGGGAACTATATAAGTATGAGTGTGTTGGGAATGAGTCGATATCAAAAGAATGCAGACTGAGTCATACTAATGAAACTGTTGGATGAATGTTCTCATGAATGTGACGGATGAAAGGTCTACCTGATTGATTGAATGATTACAAAGGTCACTACAGCATTGTTTTTGTTGTTGCTGGGGGACAATCTTTGGTCGATTGAGAATCGGGACGTTCCGGAGCGGAGATCTAATTGTAGTGGGAACGCACAACTACTACAATGAGTTTGTTGTCGAGGGAAGTTTTAGATCACCTTCTCTAGCTCACTCTGTGGTTTAAAAAGACCACCGTGACCTTATTTCGTCAAGTATTTTACGTGGATGAATACGCTAGTTCCAGTTTTTAATGGATTGAACACAGCTCAGGACAAGGGTTTAGTGGACCTAAGAGAATACATGTGGTCTCCGGTAGGTTAGTGGTTAGTGTTCTAGTCGGGTAGACCGGAGGTGGTGGTTTCGATTCACACTGGTTAAGGAGCGCACAACAGGCCCAATAGAGGCCTAAGTGTATTTCTTCGGATTGATGTATATATGTATGTCTAACTAACTAACTAACTAACTAACTAACTAACTAACTAACTAACTAACTAACTAACTAACTAACTAACTAACTAACTAACTAACTAACTAACTAACTAACTAACTAACTAACTAACTAACTAACTAACTAACTAACTAACTAACTAACTAACTAACTAACTAACTAACTAACTAACTAACTAACTAACTAACTAACTAACTAACTAACTAACTAACTAACTAACTAACTAACTAACTAACTAACTAACTAACTAACTAACTAACTAACTAACTAACTAACTAACTAACTAACTAACTAACTAACTAACTAACTAAGAGAATACATCTAAAGGGCATCAGTTTAGGCTACTAACATGTCCATATGAAAGGTAACAGAGGACCTTACTGGTTTCGCAGATTTTGGATTCGCACTGTGCAACGTAGGTCTTTCGCATATCTCTCTTTCTCTGGAGAAAATTAGGCCAAATGTATACAGAATGAAGCATATACAATAAATATTGGATATTTCTCTCAAAACAGGTTTATTTTAAAACTCAAAAACAAGTTAAAATAATTTTCAAAGTTATGAATCCATAAAAAGAAAAAATGTGCAAGCATTTTAAAGCCAATACATTATATAACCAGACAAATGGTCGTAGAAGAGGGGGTTTGCAAAACGTAAACTACACATTACTATTAAATTTGTATATATGGGTGAGGTGGGGGCAGGTACATAATACATAATTAAATATTTACTTTAAAAGGTATTGAAAAGACTTTGCGTTCTGTTCTATTCGCATCATCTTTATATAATGCACATATGTACGAGACAAAGAAACAGAAATAAAAACACTTGAAACTCGATAAACGAGTAAAGGCAAAATGATTTGCAATTACTTAAAGGGGATTGAAATGAACGTGATAAAAACTATAGTTTGTTTATATAAGAAGGAGCAAATTCCCCATAATTCTAACAAATACTTCACCCGCCTACCAAGTCACTAGTGTATTCATATGCAAAAACCGTTTTTTTTTCATATTAAAACCTATATTTGTACATTTACTTTAAGCAGCAAACACATTTATAAAATGGACATCTGTTTGTTTAACATACAAAAAATACAAAAACAACGACAAAATAACCTAACAACTGACAAACTGAGTGAGTGAATAAACTGCACACAGAAAACTACATAATAGCAGGCAAATCGGCCAGCTATTTAGCTGACTTATATGCAAGATATCTGTATGAAGATTTCCAAATAAAAATAGTATCTATACAAATACAAAACGATATAACGTCATTCTGTGGTTTGGCAAATGAGAAAAGTTTGTTTATATTAAAAAAATTGTTAAATAAACAAAAAAAAAGCGAAATGAATTTGGAAAAAAACTTAAATACATTCATACATTTTTTTTGTAATCAGCAAAAAGACATAAAAAGTAAATGAAAATGAATAGATATATAGATTGATATAGATGTATACTTACATAAATCAAACCCGAATAATATCTGTCTTTGATATTGTGCAAGACGGATGCCTCATTGAGACATGTTAATTCGGCCATATCCTCGACTTTGTCGAATTTAGGCGGGTTCATTTTTTGTATATCATCACGTAGAACCATAACACGTTTACCGGTTTCGGTAAGTTCAACCTCAACTTCATCGCCGTGTTCACGTTTAATACTGGCAGCGACAAAGCCCTGAAATTAAAGAAAAATAATTTAAAATTAGTATATAGATCTTGAAAAATAGTAAATAATATAAAATTTAAAGTTTAAAATTTAAAAGTTTAATTCTTAATTAAAATCGAGAACTACTGGTCCCTGTGTTATACAAATTTTACTATATATTCTGAGGTTAAAGTGTGTTGTCTTTCTATAGTAAAGTAGATAGATTTTAGATTTTGATCACATATTAAAGACATTTATTTCTGTAATCCAATTGTGATCTTCATCATTCAAATATCAGTCTTGGGTCGAAATACCAGAAATTTTACAATCGATTTCGTCCTTTGGCATACAAAGTCATTTAGGTTAGGTTGATAGGAGGATGTAACTATATCATATCCGAAGACCTAGGCCACCATAGGGCCTTTTTAAATATTTCTGTATTCGGACTGTGATCTTCATCATTCAAATATCTGCCTCTGAACCGCTTGGGTCGAAATACCAGAAATTTTGCGATCGATTTCGTCCTAAAGCATACAAAGTTGGTTAGGTTAGGTTGGGTTGATAGAATGATATAACTATATCACATCAGATTAAATACACCTGGGCCACTATCGGTCCTGTTATGCAATAATTTTCATAAAAAATGTTTTGGATTTACTGAATGTATTATCGTTCGATGTTCAGAAACTCAGTTTGATTGACTTAAATTTTAAGAATTTTCCAATCAGTGTTCGTTAGGAATGCTACATCCGGAATAATATCATTCCCAAGATATTTGGATCTAATTTTAGCTAAAGATTGACAATGACAAAGAAAATACTCCAGAGTTTCACTGTCCACTCAATATGCTCCACATTTCATGAATCCGCACTCCGAATACGTAATATCATACTAACATCAGACTTCCTCGTTTTGAGATGGCTTCTCATTATGCTCTATTTGGGGTCACCAAATAGGATCTTTTTCCAAGAGGCGTTATGGGTTTTTCTTACACATATTTGTATTCTGTCCTCATTTCGTCAAATGATTTTGTGTTCGTCAGGTTAACTACCTCGAGCCCCCTTCTCCTTAAAGCTATTACATCCGGTCTTTCGTTGCCGACTACTCCCGAGAGGACTGATAAACCTTACCTCTTATAGAGCTTTCTTAGAATCCAATACGGTCTTGAATTTAGAACCTCAGGCCCACTTTGTTCCCCAATTTAGAGTCAAATTTGTTAGAAATACCAGAAATTTTCGATTTAGAAATGAAGCTGTCTTAACGTTATTAGCTTGTTGGCTCAGACCAGCGATATAATGAAATCCTAAAGGAAAAGCCTGCAGACGTTAGATCGAACATCCGTCCGTCGGTGGAAGACACCAATGTTCGATCTAACGTAGAACGGATGTTCTATTTCAACGACATTTTTAATTTTAGAGCACTTTGAAATTATCCCTTTAGACCGGGTCCAGCTAGTAGTGAAAATAATCATTTGCCTTTATCACCCTATTTGCATTTACTCTCTAACGTCAAAATACAAAATTCTAAATTCTTTATAATTTTTCAAAAACCTTTGTATAATAATTTTATTAAACAGCATCTCGTATTCAAACAGCATGCATGCTGTTGTATATATTTATAAGCATGCAGCTGTATGCTTAAGCATGTGTAAAATCTCCTAAACAATCTGTTTGCGAAATGCAAAATGCATCATTAACTTGTAATACTAATAACAACAATAACAACTGTATCTTTTCGCGCGCCTATTTTAAAACACAAAACACTTGAGAAATATTTATACATAGTTTTCTTTTTTTTAACACAAATTGTTATAATACAATTTAGTAAAAACGCAGCATTCTGTTTTGAAAAGTGTGGTGGTGGTGGATTGTATTTTGCTTATTTTGCCAGATTTATATTTTCATCTCATTTACTTAAACGTCAAGTTGAAGGAATTTTATTTTCGAGCCTTGAACTTGTTTTTTAGTGCTTTATTTTCTTTTCTTCTTCAGTTTTTTATTAAGAAACCACATCGTCAAGCGAAAAAATAAATACAAAGACTGCGTCTGAGTAGAAGAAAGATGATGACGACACACAACACACATTGCGAAGACTGCAGCAATGAATGATAAACATAACCCAAGATTTTAGTTTGTTTTTTTTTTTTTTTTTTTTTTTTTTTTTTTTTGTAAAGCTGAAAAAATGGAAATATATAGTGGCACCATTACACATGGTACCACATCAACAACAATGCATATACATACAACTAACTCATTTGGCACTATAAAAAAATCGAAAATAACAACAAAATAAGTGTGGAGTAGAGGATCGTCAAAGTACTAAATTGTGTCCATAATGTCTACACTATAGACTATAGTCTAGTCTAGTCTAGTCTATAGTCTAGTCGTCTAGTCTATAGTCTAGTCTATAGTCTAGTCTATAGTCTAGTCTATAGTCTAGTCTATAGTCTAGTCTATAGTCTAGTCTATAGTCTAGTCTATAGTCTAGTCTATAGTCCTAGTCAATAGTCTAGTCTATAGTCTAGTCTATAGTCTAGTCTATAGTCTAGTCTATAGTCCAGTCTATAGTTAGTCTATAGTCCTAGTCTATAGTCTAGTCTATAGTCTAGTCTATAGTCTAGTCTATAGTCTAGTCTATAGTCTAGTCTATAGTCTAGTCTATAGTCTAGTCTATAGTCTAGTCTATAGTCTAGTCTATAGTCTAGTCTATAGTCTAGTCTATAGTCTATCTATAGTCTAGTCTATAGTCTAGTCTATAGTCTAGTCTATAGTCTAGTCTATAGTCTAGTCTATAGTCTAGTCTATAGTCTAGTCTATAGTCTAGTCTATAGTCTAGTCTATAGTCTAGTCTATAGTCTAGTCTATAGTCTAGTCTATAGTCTAGTCTATAGTCTAGTCTATAGTCTAGTCTATAGTCTAGTCTATAGTCTAGTCTATAGTCTAGTCTATAGTCTAGTCTATAGTCTAGTCTATAGTCTAGTCTATAGTCTAGTCTATAGCCTAGTCTATAGTCTAGTCTATAGTCTAGTCTATAGTCTAGTCTATAGTCTAGTCTATAGTCTAGTCTATAGTCTAGTCTATAGTCTAGTCAATAGTCTAGTCTATAGTCTAGTCTATAGTCTAGTCTATAGTCTAGTCTATAGTCTAGTTTATAGTCTAGTCTATAGTCTAGTCTATAGTCTATTCTATAGTCTATTCTATAGTCTAGTCTATATTCTAGTCTATATTCTAGTCTATATTCTAGTCTATAGTCTAGTCTATAGTCTAGTCTATATTCTAGTCTATATTCTAGTCTATAGTCTAGTCTATAGTCTAGTCTATAGTCTAGTCTTTAGTCTAGTCTATAGTCTAGTCTATAGTCTAGTCTATAGTCTAGTCTATAGTCTAGTCTATAGTCTAGTCTATAGTCTAGTCTATAGTCTAGTTTATAGTCTAGTCTATAGTCTAGTCTATAGTCTAGTCTATAGTCTAGTCTATAGTCTAGTCTATAGTCTAGTCTATAGTCTAGTCTATAGTCTAGTCTATAGTCTAGTCTATAGTCTAGTCTATAGCCTAGTCTATAGTCTAGTCTATAGTCTAGTCTATAGTCTAGTCTATAGTCTAGTCTATAGTCTAGTCTATAGTCTAGTCTATAGTCTAGTCTATAGTCTAGTCTATAGTCTAGTCTATAGTCTAGTCTATAGTCTAGTCTATAGTCTAGTCTATAGTCTAGTCTATAGTCTAGTCTATATTCTAGTCTATATTCTAGTCTATAGTCTAGTCTATAGTCTAGTCTATAGTCTAGTCTATAGTCTAGTCTATAGTCTAGTCTATAGTCTAGTCTATAGTCTAGTCTATAGTCTAGTCTATAGTCTAGTCTATAGTCTAGTCTATAGTCTAGTCTATAGTCTAGTCTATAGTCTAGTGTATAGTCTAGTCTATAGTCTAGTCTATAGTCTAGTCTATAGTCTAGTCTATAGTCTAGTATATATTATAGTCTATAGTCTAGTCTATAGTCTAGTCTATAGTCTAGTCTATAGTCTAGTCTATAGTCTAGTCTATAGTCTAGTCTATAGTCTAGTCTATAGTCTAGTCTATAGTCTAGTCTATAGTCTAGTCTATAGTCTAGTCTATAGTCTAGTCTATAGTCTAGTCTATAGTCTAGTCTAGTCTATATTCTAGTCTATAGTCTAGTCTATAGTCTAGTCTATAGTCTAGTCTATAGTCTAGTCTATAGTCTAGTCTATAGTCTAGTCTATAGTCTAGTCTATAGTCTAGTCTATAGTCTATCTATAGTCTAGTCTATAGTCTAGTCTATAGTCTAGTCTATAGTCTAGTCTATAGTCTAGTCTATAGTCTAGTCTATATTCTAGTCTATAGTCTAGTCTATATTCTAGTATATAGTCTATAGTCTAGTCTATAGTCTAGTCTATAGTCTAGTCTATAGTCTAGTCTATAGTCTAGTCTATAGTCTAGTCTATAGTCTAGTCTATAGTCTAGTCTATAGTCTAGTCTATAGTCTAGTCTATAGTCTAGTCTATAGTCTAGTCTATAGTCTAGTCTATAGTCTAGTCTATAGTCTAGTCTATAGTCTAGTCTATAGTCTAGTCTATAGTCTAGTCTATAGTCTAGTCTATAGTCTAGTCTATAGTCTAGTCTATAGTCTAGTCTATAGTCTAGTCTATAGTCTAGTCTATAGTCTAGTCTATAGTCTAGTCTATAGTCTAGTCTATAGTCTAGTCTATAGTCTAGTCTATAGTCTAGTCTATAGTCTAGTCTATAGTCTAGTCTATAGTCTAGTCTATAGTCTAGTCTATAGTCTAGTCTATAGTCTAGTCTATAGTCTAGTCTATAGTCTAGTCTATAGTCTAGTCTATATTCTAGTCTATAGTCTAGTCTATATTCTAGTATATAGTCTAGTCTATAGTCTAGTCTATATTCTAGTCTATAGTCTAGTCTATAGTCTAGTCTATAGTCTAGTCTATAGTCTAGTCTATAGTCTAGTCTATAGTCTAGTCTGTAGTCTAGTCTATAGTCTAGTCTATAGTCTAG